CAATTTTTGCACTTTGGCTTGTATTGAGAAGAGAGAAAAAAAAATCCAGTGATTTTTCAGAATTATTCGCAGTAGTAAACATTTCAGGGTAAGAGCATTATGCAGCCTTCCTTTCCCTTCTTTCACACTGCCAACTAGTCAGCTGAATTAGAAAGAGAGAATTCAGTGAGATATAAGTGTTGTCTGGAACAAAACATTAATAGATTTTGGTAATGGTAATACTATGGAAAGAATAGCAGTGTGTAAGATCACCCTTTTCACACAGCACAGCTGAGGATCTTTGTTACCACTTTGACTTTGTTTGCAATGCTGATTTAAATACAGTTGGAAAAGAGAAAAAAGAGGAAAAGCTTGATCCGTGCACGTTATCAACAGAATCATTAGCAGAACTGCAATTGTTCAAAATACTAGAACTGGTGTATTTGCAGAAACAAGAAACATTGAGTTTGCGATGACAGTGAAAATAGCATCTTACTCTCACAAATTGAGCAATTTTGTTCAATTGCAAGATTAGATTCTTTGTCATAGAACAGATAGTCATGAGTGACTTACTATTTATTGTTTGTGTTATAGCACTACTGCAGAAACCCTAATGTATGGAATGCTGTGACATGGGAGCCAATTTTCAAAGTGTAACTGTTCACGGTAGCCACTGCTGGGGCCCATGATATTTGTAGCTTTATATAATATTTTAGAAGGTGTAAATGGAATATCAAAATGTCAGTCATAAATATATTTTAATAACCGTTTTATGTAGTTTTGACAAACTTAACTGTCTAACAGCCAATTACACAAGACACTCCACAAAAGTCAGCAGCTAATGGCAAACCAGGTAGCTGTTAGAGGCTGCATCTGTCTGTTTTTATGTCTTAAACGAAAGTTGCTGTGAGTAATTTTATCTAATAAAGAGTCTCCCTTTCACATAGTCAATATTTAGAATAGAAAAATTTAAGTCTTCTTTATTTTAAAATTTCTAAGTAGTAATTTTTTATTAATAGCGGAATGCTTTTCTTATTTAAGAAGTAAATGATCAAAACCTGCATCTGCTTTTATGCCGTACAACGATGATTCCAATGCATGTTTGGGATAATGGATATATGTTACTCTACATATTGTAACTAATGTGCACTGGAATCTAGGGCCACAGAAAAACAATATATGGAAAAGTGTCTTAAATTGTAATCTTCCCCATGACCAAGCAAATCCATGGCATGTCAAAGTTTTTCAGGCAGTAAAAAAATCTCTTCAAAACAGGAGTGATAACTTCCATAATGAAGTTGTAAAAACAAGACAGAAAGATTTTGATGAGCAAAAGCTCAACAGCATTCCTCCTCACCAGTCAGAGTGTTCGCAGTGTGGGATGTCATGCACGCAACTTATGCACGTGTCCTTTGCTGACTGCAGTATCTATGCATGCAAAAGTACACAACAATTTGCTTCACTGCAAATGGTACAAGAGGTTCGCTATCTCCAGTTGAAGACTAAGCTTTGGGATAGGAAAGGTGGCCTCCTCATTGCTAGCTGGCTTTTGTTTTATTTGGGTGGGACCGTGGGACCATTTATATTGGAAAGAGAGGAAAATAGGAGATACTGGCTCCTGTATGGCTCCTTTCTGGGAAATGATGTTTAGTAAGATGCTCTTGAGAGTGAAAATAAAATACAAACTATATTATGTGATTGGTAGCTGGTAAAGGAAGCCACATGGCCCATTTGGCTTCTCCTTTTGGAACTGTTCCAATTCAGATATACTTAATAGTGTAAGCCAGAGCAAATCCCATTTTGTAGGAGAGCAATGCAGCCAAGTTCAAAAGGGGAAATATGGAGAGCAGCATGATTAGAAGCAGAGAGGCAGTTGGATGGGTGAGCTGCAGACAGACTCACTGAAAAATCACACAAACCATCTGTGTATGTACCAGCTTGCCTTCTTGGCCCTTTTGTGCTGATACGCAGGGGTTGTGTGCCCCGCTAGCTCCTGAGAGCCCTAGGTACAATCCAGGAGTCGTGCCCGAGGTCGGGAGGCCCTTTCTCACTAGAGCCCCAAAAGGCCAAGGTTGGTTCAGGGGCTGGGGGACGGTTTGTGCACTGGTGTCTCAGCCCGCCCAGCTATGAACCTGCTGCCCTCAGTGCCTGCTGCACAGCTGTAGGATGGAGCACTGGGCCCACAAGTTGGTTCTAAACACTCCATGTAAAAATTACATTGCTCTGCCCCCCTTTCAAAGAAAATAATATCTCCTTCTTCAACTGTTTGTTGAAAAGTTTATAGGTGTATTTCTTTTGTAGATGCTTATTCTAAATAACAAATAGCACAAAGAAACTTCGAAGGCTGGGTGTTCATCATGTGACAGCACCAAGGCAAATGCAAAAGATAGTGGCAGGAGTTTACAAATGATCTACATTATCCAGCATCACTCATACTCCTCATTGTCCATGCTGCAAATAGAAGTTGCATTAAAAAGGTATCAGTGCAAGCTTGTTTTATAGACATCACGCGAGAGGTTAAGTGTTATATTTTCTAAGCTTAATGAAACTTTGTAAAGTGAATATCATATAGTTGAAGACAGTAATCAAAGGCTCAAGGTAACCAAAACCACATGCAATTTGCATTTGGTAATAGACAGGAATTCGTGGGTTTTCTTGTCCTAGAACGCAATTAGAGAAGCTGTGCTGTGCCTTGTAGAACAACTCATGGCCTGTTACTGAAAAAAATAACTGCTCTCCTGGGATAATGGGTCTAAGAGTAGCCCAAACACCAGCCGCCTCAGTTTTCCCCACACAGGCAGTGGCAGCAGCTCTTCTGTTCACCATGGGGCCCACCTGTAGAGCCCAGCACGTGTAGGTTCCTGCAGGTTAGCGCTGCCCACTGAATGCTGAAAGAGCCTGCAAGCAGGTGCACTGACAGGCAGGGAGAGTGATGCTGTGTCAGCACAACCAAGTAACGCAGGGCGGGAGAAGGGGAAGCAGCCGGGTGTGAGCGCCTAAATACAGCCGGTGGGAGATTTCTTAGGAGTACCTCTAATCTGATCTAGCAGATTGACTATCCTGGTCAGCTCATTGGGTGTGCTCTGTTGCTCACCTGCTTCTTTAGTTTCAGTTGAAAATAATTAAGTTTGCAAGCCCTGAGACCACACCGCAAGACAAGACACAACATTAAGTAGGTTTGACCAGGAGATGCAATCTAACTGCAACTGTTTCAAAATTTGTGAAGCTCAGAAGCCACAAATCAGTCCCTGGGAAATAAACAGGTTCAACTCTGCCCTACTCCTGGTGCAGGTGCTGGCCACAGGCAGCAAAGCCCCTGGCAGAGGCATGAAACGGTTTCCAGAGGTGATGGAATCAGCTGTGCCGAAGTCCCGCGCCCTGGCCTTGTAACAGGATTAAGACACAGCGGCAGGATGGGGTAAGAAGGCTGTCACTCCTGCCTTCATGGTGCCTCTTTATCAAGGGTTGCTGCCTTCAGGCTTACAAAGGGGGCCTTTTCATTAGTTTCAATTTAAGAGTTTAATATTTATCTGTTTTTAGAGAGAAACTACTTAATAGCTGAAAGACCATAAAAGCAGAAGCAATAAATATCAGCAGTAACTAACTTTGAACTACAACTAACTTGCAAAGTCTAAATGTAAATTGAGATACTCAAACAGTTGAAAGGCTTCAGATTAATCTACATATGACTCTTTTCAGCTTTCAGTCAGATTATGAACCACAATTTTGTAGCTTCATTTTCTGCTATATTGTACAAGAGAATATACAAAAAAATGAATGCAGGGTTTGCATTTCCTTCTAGTCTTGTGCAGCAGAACACTAAATAATAGCATTTGCTGGTCTAGTCTGCACTTTAATACGTTTTCTTCACTTGCTTAATTGTATTAATGGAAAGAGGAGGAGGATTTTGTGGCTAGGACAGAGGACGGGAAGTCAGGTGATTTGTGTTATATTCAGCATTATGCCACAGGCTTCCTGTGCAGCCTGCCATAATCAGGTTTGCTAATATATAAAATGAAGGTAATGACATTTCCCCTTCTTGCCAGGGTGTTGTGACACTTAATTCATTAATGTTTGTAAAGTGCTTTGTGCTCCTTGCTTCTAAATGTGCTCCTTACTGTAATGTCTTATGGATGGTATTAAAGCAGAGAATGATGTTACTTTAGTGCCTGTGCTAAAAGTTGGCAGAAGTGTAATAAAGGCCATTATTTTCATGTATTTTATGAGCTACTGGAATCTTTTAGATGACTTACTTGAAATTTAGCTAATATAGTTAGAGTTATAAAATATACTATGTCAGTTCTGTGCCTAATTTGTGTGTGTGTGTGTGTGTGTGTCCTTTCGCTATGATGAAATATTTAGCAATAAGCAAGACTATCTTGCTCAGGCTCAGAAGAGGAAGAAAGAGTTTGGCAGAGATACTTCGTTATAGAGCCAGCTGTCTACCCTGGTAAATCCCCAAGCACTTCTGTGTCCCAAGGCAAAATGTACTGACAACTTGAGTAAGAAATTAAGTCAAAAATATTTTTGGATAGGAAAGTGAGGGATCATAGTACTTATCTAAATTGCAGCAAACTACAGGACTCAGCAAGTATATAATTCAATATAGTTAAAAACAACAAAAACCTTAAATTTTAAAATCCCTGAAGATTCAGCAATGAAACTCAGAGTAAATTCACTACTAATCACCAGTAAATTAACTATTAGTCACATGGTTAAATCTCTATGTAGCACAGGAAAAAAGCGAAAGTTTACTCTCTTAAATGTGATGAACAGAATATTGTTTAGAGCAAATGAAGTTGTGCGTAGAAATGAAAGAAGAATAAAATGCTGAATTCTTAAAATTAAAAGCAAGAATGTTATTAGTATTCACTGTACACAAGTGGATTTTTTAGAATGTGGTAATTCACCAAAATTTTACTCTATAAAATCCCGTTTTATCACACAATTGTAATTTACATACCTCTGTTTTTAATAGCCAGTGAAATGACATGAGGTGAAAAAAAGAATTACAGACTTACCATAAATAGAAGCAATTCATTCAAGGCTGTGCAGTGTTTGTCAGAGAGAAACCACGCTGCTGATACAGCATAAGTAAAAGCATACACGTCCCCTTACAAGCCCTGTCCAACAGTAAGTTAGTAAGAAGGAAGGAAAGCAGCTGACACTTACTATCAATATAAAAGTTCCCAGGAATTCTGAGAGGGCTTCTTTAGCAAAGCTGTTCTTCAAGGCAAATCTCTCCTTTAAACTCCCCTTGTTTTTCCGGCTCATTTTTGCTTCCTCTATTGCTCTGCAGCCCTAGTTACAAATACACACAAAATTTGCTCTGTAATCGTCCCTGCTTCAGCTGAACTTTGACACTTTTACTTATACATTGAAATATGAGATTTCATCCCGTAGAGCCAGTGAAATCATCTGACTGCAGGCATTGACAGAACCAACTCAACGTGCCCTAACAATTCATCATGAGTTTCCGTCCTGTGCCTGCTCTGAGTGTGCTTCTATTTATACTGGCTAGATAACACCAGTAAGTTTGCAATCAGAACTTTTCTTTTTTCCTGCAGGATAGATTAATTATTGTCTTTCAAGCTGCGTTTTTTTTTTTTTTTCCTGGAAAAAAGTGGTTAAGATGTTATTCCTATCACCCCGATGAAAAAAGACAAGAAGTGATACTACAAAATAAGGAACAAAAATGTGGAACAAAATTTTGCTCTGACCTAATTGGATTTAAGGCACACTACTATTGGCTGTCTGAAAACTTTTTAAGGGGAGGTTGCAAAAGAGTGAATGCTTGTGAGGACACTGTGCTCCAGCCCTGCAAACAAAAGCTCCTGTCCTGTCGGTTCGGAGGGATTTCAGTAGCTAATGAGGAATCTCACTTTGGAAGGGTGCTGAATTTGTATATTCGCACACAATGCTCTTTTGGGACTAAATGCCTTGCTCTCTAGTGACCCTGTTTGCAAAAGAGCAACGAGGCAGAATGAATTAGGAACATTTAATGAAATCTGCTCCGGTCCAGTGGCTGCCTGTAGCCCAGCATAGGCAAATGAGGCACTGAGAATACGTCGTTGGTGCGTTCAGCTTTAAAGCACATAGGTGCTGCAAGATGAAACGTTATAGTGCTGTTTTCCACAGTTTTGCTGAAAACTGATCATGCTGAATATCTCCATACCTTGGCCTCCTGGAGAAAAATACTACACTCTTAATCTCTTAAGCATCTTGAATGCTTTTTATCAGGTGTGATACTGATTTGATTAGCGTGTTGTCTGATTCATTTACAAATATTTTCTTTACTTGACTTGACAGTAAAACCTAGTTGGCCCAGTTCTGGGAGGTTATTTTGTCATGTGTTGTAGATGCTCAGTGATTTGGTTTGTATCTGTCCTAAACCTTATTATCTTGATGGTAAATAAAGCTAGGTGCCAGTTTTGAATTTGGTCAGCATACGGGCCTGCTTCCCTGTCAGTGCTCGTACTTCGCCCAGGCTAGGGCTCGATGCAGTGGTAGCCTCTTACCACCTGCAATTTCATTCCTTGGCCATCCAATTTCAGCCCTTAGCCCCTTCTCTGTGTTCTTTTGCTCCACCAGTCCATTTGAACACCCCTCCTGTGTACCAGCTGCCCCGTGACAGCTCTGCAGGAGCTGGGGAGCAGCTGGGCACCAGCAGCTACAGAGGGTCCTTCGCGGGGACGCCAGCCCAGCGCGTGCACAGGGACAGCCGGGAGCAGCCTCTGGAAATAGCCTGTGTATTGCAGTTTAGCCTACACACTGCAAAACAAAGATATTATTCAGGACCTTAATTATCACAGCATGTTAACGTATATGTTTATTATATCTTTGAGAGAAGAAGTTTTTCAAAATGATGTGTACGGTAGGACTGAAGAAGAGTCCCAAGAAGGCCATTCATTACAGCAAGAATGAGATAAACCACTTCCTCTCTTCCAGGAAAATGGGAAATAAATAAATACATTTATGAAAACAATTTTTAGTTCTCTCTGCATAGCAGCTCTTATGCAGATGTAGGCCTTCCTTAGAAAGGACTGCGCCAGGGCTTCTCTGTTTCGTCTCAAACAGGTGTGAAAGTTTTATCTTCATTTCTGAACTAACAATAGTGCAATAAAATGTCAGCGAGACAGTCAGAACTGTCTATTCATTTGTCCAGATCATGTTGTCTTCCCCTTAATATTTTACTGTTTTTCAAGGTGGACTACCAGCTTCCTGATGCAAATATGTGCATTCTACATTTGCTTTCTTTGGGTTTCCTTTAACGCTCCATAGAACTCGTATAGGTTAATTCTGTTAAAACTTAAGAACTCTGATGCTAAGTTAGATTGAAGCTCCTTCATGTGACTCCACAACCAGATTCCAGCAGAGGATGGTAGTGGATGCTCCTAGCAAACAGGGACATGAGAAGGCACACAGGGAATGGCTGTTCTCTTGTATAACCTCCCTGCTTTTGGCAACTGGTGGATTATAGTCAATGCTGCACTTTGAAAAAGGGGGCAGCAGAAAAATTGAATTCAGTAGATCCTTTCATTGCATTCAGAAAGAGTTTTTAAAGAAATTTCCCAAACTTAACAAATATGTACATTGATTACAAAATACACTGTGATGACTGTTCTCTACTGGTCTCCTTCATCTGGTCCCTGCTCCCAGTGTCGTAATGGTAACAGTATTGGCAATGTTACCTGTGAATATTGACTGCTGTAGAGTCTGAGGGAAGTTAAACTGAAGTGCAAAGGAGAATATTAAAATTAAAAGGACATCCTTTAAAAATAGGTGTTATATATATGCAAGGAGCATAAAAGTGTATAAGCTCTGTCAAATTAAATGTAGAACCACAGCAGAGCTGACAAAAAGGTTTTAAGAGGCACCTTGCCAGGAATGTAGAATTAATAATATAAACTTTCAAATTCCATCACCAGAGAAGTCCTGCAGGAGAGAAAGTAAAACTATAGAGGATGGAAGTGGAGAAGGAGCTTTCAAGGTGGGAAGTCCACAGTCGAGAAGCTAAAGCTTCCTTTGCATTGGTAAAGAGCCAAACTCTGTGTGGTTTGCATGTGAGGAACCATCCTAAATGAATTCTCAGTAGGAGACACTTTAAGAGAAATTGGTAAATTGAACAGTAATTAATTGTGAGAGCTGTGTGATCTTTCCCCGAAGGGATTCGAACACTCAGTTACTGAAGTGCTACTGGGTCATCTTTTGCTGCAGTTGATCTCAATGTGAGCAGAAAAGAACGTAGCAAATGTGCCACTGGTGTCTCCAACAGGGCTCCAGGGGTGACATGGGAACTGCAGTGCTGTCAGTGTGACTGCTTTGCCAGGAAAATTCACTGCACTGGAGGAAAGGATAAATCAATAGACACACAGATAAAGCTGGTATTCTTTAGAACCATCAAAATGGCTTCTGTTAAGGGAGGTTATGCCTCACAGATCTATTGACATTCTTTAAAGATGTCAACAAACATGCTGATATTATTGTTCATGCTTGAATATGCGATCAGTGTAACCTTAGAATGGAGATCACAAACCTGAGACCCTTGAGACCCATGCCCCAAGGCAGTCTGCACTGAACTGTGTCTTCTCTTCACCTGGAATCAAGCAGAGCAAGAATTCGTACAGTATGTAAAACCTAAACCATTTTTATGAGTAATCTTCATTCCTACAGAAATAGCAAAATAGAGAATAATTCACATAGCTCCCACAGTTTAATTCTCATGGGTAACAGTATATACTGCACTGAATTTTTAATAGTACATTATTCAGAGTATCACATAAATCGTTATTACTGATGTAATAAAACCTAAACCAACACAGCTGGAGAGACCAAGGATATAAATATACCATATATTTTTTGTATTGTAATAATATGGGTCAAATTATTTTCAAGTCTAAATCTGCTGATTTTAATTGAATTAGACAAGGTCTGCATATGTACATTTGCTATAATTCATGTACCTGTATAAATGCCCTTGCCTAATTTATATTTACATTTTCACAGAAAACATGCTGCGTGGTCCTCCTGAAAGGATGTTCTCTGTTCTGCAGATTGATTGACCTGCTGGGCGACTCAAAAAGCATCAGGGGAGGAAGATCTGGACACATTGCAGTTCAGGATTCTGAGGTATTTGTGTACCTAAAAATAAAGATTTCTTTGGTTCCTGTGCTTTCTGGCCATCTTTCCATATCTACTGCAGTCTCTAGTTGCTTAGTGCTACTCTGTGTCTCATGCGCAAGTATGTGCAGTGAAAGCTCGGGTCTGGCTGAGCGCCCCTTGCAGGCAGGGCAGTGCTCACACGGCGACTCCATGGGAATCTCTTTGTTCTTTCTTCTTTCTGTCATCCCACTGTTCAGATAAAACACTGCACTTCGGATCATGCATCAAAAAAGATACCACATACAAATGTCTCAAACTTTTTGTCAGTGTCTTTAAGGCCCGATTAAATCTCACTGAAGCTCACTACTGCTGACACTGATTTGCAGTGAGAACTAAATTGGTCTGTCTGGGAAGCAGAGCCCCAACTTTTCTTCTTAGTTGGCTGAGCACATCATCAGGGCTCTGTGTGTAACTGAAACATATATTGCTTTGGCATCATGTAACTGATGATTGTAAAGTTCATAATTTGTTGACTGACCTGACTGACAGTGTAGAATATAGGGTCTGTTGGTTCCCGAGTTGGCCTGATCTCTGCAACAGCCGTACAGCGCGGCACTCTCCCTGCGGCAGTTTGGCACAGACCACGTTCCTCCCCGCGGGGGCTCTGGGACGGGGCTCTCCATGCTAGCACAAAGTGAAGGTGTTAGGGAAACGCTGTGCAGAACGCTTCATGTGCCGGTGTTATCTGCTGCACTAGGCAGTGCTTCCCCTTAAAGTGTTGGATATGGTTCTAGTAGAAGCTTATCAGGTAGGTTACAGTATGGGCAGGTCTGACTTCTGGATGCATCTGGAGAAAGACTATTTAAGAAATTTGCTTTTAGAGAAGAACAAGCACTCTGTTGCAGCCTATACCCTGTCCTTTTTTTCTGTACTTTCCCATTTTGGAACGGTATATGTCCATGAGCAGTAAATGTGAGATAAGGTATTTGGCAGTATGGTCTTTTTTTCCCCTAAAACAACATCAACAAAAACTATCTGTTTCAGAATTCTTTATAAAAAGTCCTTAAAATGGAGATAAATTCAACTCTGCTATTAAAAATAAATATCTCCTGACAAATGCATCCATGTAGCATGAAGAAAACCTCAAAGTGTATCCTGTTGGCCTTGCAATGATGTAAGTCCTATGTTTTCTTAATCAGAATGGGATACATTTTCAGAACCTTTTATCCTTCTACGGGGAACATATTTCCTATAGCAAGAGACATATGGTGACTTATTATGGCTACTGATATAGCTACAGGGTCCTGAAGAACAGATCTTGAGCCTACCTACTTAGTAAAAAGCATGTAACATGAACACAAAAGGTAATGACAGACTTGACTCCATTAACACTTTAAAGAAAGCAAAATGGTGC